CTTTCCCTAGTTATGGAATGAAAAGTCTTGTCTTAAAGGGAATTTCTGCCATGGAGCAGGGATGGGGAAGGGTCACGGGTGGAGATTAGTCTGTCAGGTGGGGAAACCTATCTTTTTTCTTATTTCCATAGTCACAGCATAATTGTGGCTCTAAGGCCTTTTAGGGTGTCTCTTTAACCTTCCCCTTCCGTCATTATTTCCCAGGATTTCCACATGCTGAGAATCTATAACCCAGACTTCCTATGATTTCTGTCATAACACTCTTCTCCCCAGTTTGGTGATAACTGCTTTTTTGTGTTCCCAACTCTGGAGTACGTAGTGGCCCAGAACTGCCACTGCTAATTAAGCCCTCTAGACTCCAGCCCACTAGGCTCCCACTAGACTGGGTGGGGAAGGATGGGGGGAGGGGGGAGGGGGAGGGAGGGAGGGGAGGGGAGGTAAATGTCCCTGTGGGGAGAAAGCAGACTTGACAGGAGGGGGAGGGAGGGCAGGTGGGTGTTGAGTGAGGACTGGACTCCATGATTGAAGACCATGGAGATGACCTCATTTAGGGTTTGCTATGTGAAAGACTGGTATTTTTATTGATATGAACTGCTTACTATTGATGCCCTTTTTCTTTTTGTTTCTGTTTATTTAGTGGCACTAACCAATGAAGTAGCTAAAAGGCAAGAAATAGTAGTGGGGGGAGAGAACAAAGGGCCTAGACAAGGCTGAGGATCAAGTAAACATTCTGAGTATTTGAGGTTCTCTACTGTATTATATGAGTTACAAAAATTGAATTTCATGAAATAAAAATCTATTTTAATTCACACCTCTGAAGATTCCTATTGCTTTAGGCATAATCACAGAAATGGGCTTCCTTTGGCCATTTGGCCAACAGTTTGGCTTCTGTTTCTGGACAGATAACTGTTGTCTGTTTGCTTATTGTTGGGAAAAGCCAACATGAGTAAATGGGTGGAGATAGGAACAAACTACAGGTGGAGCTTTCTTGAAACAAGACCAGTTACTGCATATGTGGCCTTACATGTGACAAATTGGGGCATGATTCTTGAGTTGACCAAAAGAGTCACAATAAAATTTAATTTAAAATATTCCATATACATACGCCTTTTAAATGATATTTTTTAAAGTATTTTACATAAAACCTTTTAAAAATTCACCCATTTACAGCAGTGGCTTCCCGGCTGCATTAAATCTATTAGCAATTGAAGGTGAGGAAAGTAGTACCTTGTGCCCCCTTGTGGCCAAGTTAGTGTCCGTTGTCCTGTCTTCCTCCTTCCTCCGCTCCCCCTGCTTCCTGCTGCTCAACCAGTCTTCCTTGCCTTTTGTCGTTGTTGTTGCTTTTTTAAGCCACAGAAGGACATGCTCCTATTTCATTACAGTATAACAAACGGAACACTTGGAGAGGGGGGCATGGTTTTTATCACTGGGTCTGTTTGCTAATCTGAAAAAAAGAAGACCATAATGGTTTAGGTGGTAATGAGAAGTTTCTGGTAAAGGTGAGAGTACCTCTACTTAGCAACTCTCAGCTGCTGGAAATAAGCTACTTAAGAATTTCCTGTTGGCACAAGGCATTTTATAATAAGCTAGGGGTATTTTTTTTAATTTATCTTGCTTTTACGTGGTAGATGATTTTAATCTCCTGGGTTGGAACAGTGCCAGAATATAATCCAGAAAACCTGTTCCAAACTGCTATAAAAATACCACAAATATATTGCAGTGACTTTAGAAACCTTTATTTGTTTCACTAAAAAGAAAATCTGTTTTGCTGTATGTTCTCAGGTTTGTCCAACTGTCCATCTCAGCTAACTAAATTTGACCTGTGATTCCTTTTCCCTTTTGAGCAGCAATCTTACTGGGAAGGTTTGTTTCTCTGATGTGAATTCCATTCTCTTGCAGGCTAAGTGTGTGTGGAAACACCCACCCGGAGATGAGATATATCGCAAAGGTTCAATCTCTGTGTTTGAAGTGGATGGCAAGAAAAACAAGGTAAAAAGTGCTGACATCAGAAAAAGGGGTGAAAGTGTTGTACATTCACAGGTTTCAGAAATCTGTTTTATCTCCATCTCACCTTGTAAAGAAGATAGAACTCTTCTATTGGCCAAAATACACAATTTCTGCTTCATTAACAATGATGGCATGATCTTTAAATTTTAGGCCTTTATCTGATAAGTATAAGAATCACTGGCCCACACATAAACGTTGTTTCTCTACTTCCAGATCTACTGCCAAAACCTGTGCCTGTTGGCCAAGCTTTTTCTGGACCACAAGACATTATATTATGATGTGGAACCCTTCCTGTTCTATGTTATGACAGAAGCAGACAACACTGGTTGTCACCTGATTGGATATTTTTCCAAGGTCAGCAGGATCTGGAGATTAAGAAGCTGATGACCAGAGCAGGGTGATTGATGTTGGCATATGGTGACTCAGCCCACTGATGGAAAGAGGCAGTTCCCTGGGCAATGATGACAGCCCTTCTCTTAAAGGGTGGTGGGGGGTGGGGTGGAAATCCACGTATCAAAGATTATTTAATGAAAATGTGCAATTCTTTATTAAAAGCTTCTGATTTATTCATTTCTGGACTTGTGGATTGAAGCTGCCCATTAATTAATGGCCAGGGCCCTGCCTACTAACCCATAAGCCCACATCTTGTAGTCAAGCCAACCAACTCTCCTTGCTTTGCTCTTCTCTGTGTTATTAGCTTAAAACCAGGAATATGTTCCTTTTGCCTGGTTTTCTAGCTGGGCTCCTTCAGTTGATAACGCCACCGTGCCTTTAAAGACTCAAGGCCAGATTTTGCTTATGACTTTTTAATATAACAACTTTATTGAAATATAATTCTCCTACCATACAATTCACTCATTTAAAGTGTATGGTGTAGTGGTTTTTAGCATATTCACAGAGTTGCGCAACCACCTGGCAGTCACCACAATCAGTTTTTGTTACCCCAGTAAGAAACCCCATACCCATAAGTAGTCACTCCTCATTTCCACTCATTCCCTCCCAGCCCCACTGTCTCTATAAGTTTGCCTGTTCTGGACATTTCACATAAATGGAATCATGCAGTATGTGATTTAATTGTGTTTTGACCCCCTTCCAGAATGGGGACTTCCTGTTTGGATTCCCTCCCTTCTCCAGTAGGCAACACTCTTTTGAAATACTGCTTTTAAAGAGGGCTGCTCTAGACTGACTCAGCATTTTAAGCCTTCTTGCCTTGCTCTGTGCCTGTAAGGAACCCAGAGTCAGCCCCCTTAAGATGAGACTGGAAATCTTAGAGCTAGGGAAACCCTGGGATCATCATAAAGGGTGTGGATGTACCAGCTGTGAGCCTGACAGCCACTCCTCAGGACTAGTTAGCATATATTTTGCAAGCAACCTTGTTTTGTATCTGTGGGACTACTGATACCTCTGGTTCCAAATTCTCATGACCCACTCATCTGTTTGCTCTTGATTTTAGGAAAAGAATTCATTCCTCAACTACAATGTATCCTGTATCCTTACCATGCCTCAGTACATGAGACAGGGCTATGGCAAGATGCTCATTGATTTCAGTAAGTGAAACAGGAAAGTCATAAGTTCCACAAGCAGGGACCATGTGAATATTGTTGTTTGTCTTTTTGTCCTGTGATCTATCTATACAGTTCCTGGCACGTAGTGGAATTACACTGGTATTAAGTGAATGAGTAAGTGGAAGAATTCTGAACGTTGTCAGTTGGCCTGATACACACTGAACACTCAAATGAATACAGGACCCTGAGTTGGTACCTAATGGTGGGAGATACAGAGGATAGTAAAGTAAGCTCTTTAGGATTACCCCAGTTTGAGACTTACCAAGAGCACATACATGCATAAGGCTTCAAATTTGTTCTTGGGTGTTAGGAATTTTAGTTTTGTAAGCTTTTGTCTAGAGGCAGTCATCTTATTAATCATGGATTCTGTATTTGGGAATTTGCCTACTCATTAAAATTTATTCATAAGCCCCAAATCAACCAACATGCCCATGGCAGCAAAAAAAAAAAAGTCACCATGCATTCCCAGATGAGGTGAAACAAGGTACCTTGTTTCAGCTCTCTGTGTTTAAGCCAGTGTCCTTTCCATGGTCTGTTAGTGCCATGTCATTCATATTTTTGTGCCTTTTTAAAAATCTTTATTTATGTGGCTGCACCAGGTCTTATTAGTTGTGCAGGATCTTCGTTGCCTCGTGCGAGATCTTCGTTGTGGCGTGCGGGACCTTTAGGTGCGGCATGCATGCGGGATCTTGTTCCCTGACCAGGAATCAAACCTGGGCCCCCTGCATTGGGAGTGCGGAGTCTTAACCACTGGACCACCAGGGAAGTCCCCATGTTTTTGTGCTTTTTGTTATTGATTTTCTTTTCTTTTTATTTTTTGGCTGCACTGCACAGCTTGTGGGATGTTAGTTCCCCGACAAGGGGTTGAACCTGGGCCCTTGGCAGTGAAAGCGTGGAGTCCCAACTACTGGACCGCCAGGGAATTCCCTGTTGCTGATTTTAAATGGTCCCTAAGTGTAGTGCTGAAGTACCGTCTAGGAAGGCTGTGATGTGCCTTACGGAGAAAGCGTGTTTTATAGATAGGTTTTATTCAGGCATACATTATTGTGCTGTTGGCTGTTAGTTCACTGTTAATGAATCAACGATATGTATTAAATAGGTGTTTTTAAACAGAAGCACATAAAATGAGGTTATGTATTGATTGGTTGACAAAAATGTGACCAGCAGCCCACAGGAACCTAACCCTGTATCTCCCCTAAGAGCAGTGGTTCAATATTCGCTAATTCAGTGTTCACTGTGACTTTGTAGAATATAACTACCGTAAATAATGGGATTCAACCGTGTTTTATTCGATATTCACTGTAACATGACATATTTTAGTCAAATTAGAATTCTTAGAAACAGCTTTGTGATCCTTTTTTTTTTTTTTTTTTTTGTGGTACGTGGGTCTCTCATTGTTGTGGCCTCTCCCGTTGCGGAGCACAGGCTCTGGACGCGCAGGCTCAGCGGCCATGGCTCACGGGCCCAGCCGCCCCGCGGCACGTGGGATCTTCCCGGACCGGGGCACGAACCCGTGTCCCCTGCATCGGCAGGTGGACTCTCAACCACTGCGCCACCAGGGAAGCCCCCTCCCCCCCCCCTTTTTTTTTAAGCCATCTGGTAAGAGATGAATCAGGAAATGGCATAATCCACTAAGGGTGTGAGGGGATTGTATATCTTTGAATAGGTAATACCTATTTTATAATTGATATTGCAAAGCAGACTCTGCTCCTTAAATCTTTTTCCATGTTGGTACATTGTTCTTACTAGGGTGAGGTACAGTGTCTGTATTGTTCCCTGGCAGGTTATTTGCTTTCCAAAGTGGAAGAAAAAGTTGGCTCCCCAGAGCGTCCACTCTCAGATCTGGGGCTCATAAGCTACCGCAGTTACTGGAAAGAAGTGCTTCTTCGTTACCTGCATAATTTCCAAGGCAAAGAGATTTCTATCAAAGGTTGGTTTTTGACTCTTAGAAAATGGTTGTTACTCAAGATGTTAGTTCCACTGAATAGTCTGACTTTTCTCTTTGGCCCTGTTCATGCTTTGTAACCTGCAAAGAAAATAACCCCATTCTGTGTTTCATCTGAATATGAGAGCAGGAGGCCCACTAATGTGGACCACTCACTAAAGGTGCCTAAGGATTCCAGAGTGTTTGGCCCTTGGGACTGGTTATATGATTTGGTTTCTTACAGAGAAAATGTGGTGGGTTTCTTTGTTTTTTTAATTTTTTTTTTTTGAGTTTTGAACTTTATTTATTTACTTATTTTTGGCTGCGTTGGGTCTTCGTTGCTGCACGCAGGCTCCCTCTAGTTGAGGTGAGCGGGGGCTACTCTTCGTTGTGGTGCGCGGCCTCTAACTGCAGTGGCTTCTCCCGTTGCGGAGCACAGCGCGGGCTTCAGTAGTTGTGGCTCGCGGGCCCCACAGCGCAGGCTCAGTAGTTGTGGCGCACGGGCTTAGTTGCTCCGCCGCATGTGGGATCTTCCCGGACCAGGGCTCGAACCTGTGTCCCCTGCCTTGGCAGGCTGATTCCTAACCACTGTGCCACCAGGGAAGTCTGAAAATGTGTTTTATAGATAGGTTTTACTCAGGCATTCGTTATTGCGTCTCAAATCTCAGGTTGCTGACACTTTAATTCTCAACAAAAGTCAAGAAAGAAGAAAAACTTCAAGTCTTTTGGCACACACAGGAACTTCTAACATCCCTGAATATTTGTGAGGATGGGAGAATTTAGTTTGGTCTGTCTTTGACCTTGATTTCTATAGGGGCCAAGTGGTTTCCTGCTGTAATATCCGTCTTCTGTAGTTATTTTAACTGGTAAAATGAATGCTTTGTAAATTTCTTCTGAACAGCTTGGGTCAAGTAGTGAAGATTCCAAACATTTGGAGTCTGCGTCTAGATTTCCTCCAAGGCAAAGGGGGCCTTGGTGGGGCAGGGCGGGGGTGGTGTCTACATTTTGGCCAAGTTCTCAGTAGCTCTTCTGTTTCAGAAATTAGCCAGGAGACAGCTGTGAATCCTGTGGACATTGTCAGCACTCTGCAAGCCCTTCAGATGCTCAAATATTGGAAAGGAAAACACCTAGTTTTGAAGAGACAGGTAAAGTTACTATCAGCCTCTTGCTCATTGCTTAATGTCCCTTGAGGCCTAGCAGAGCAAAGTGGGGCCTTCACACCTTACAGGTAACCTTCCTTTCTTAAAGGAGTCTGACTCTACGCATCCTTTACTTGGTCTCATTGTCAGGCTTATCTTAAGCTCCTGTCTCAGATTTGAATGACAGACGTGTAAGCAGCTCCAGTTAAGCAGCTTTATGTTGCACAGTCGTACTTCTATCCTTGGATGATCTTCTTAGATCGGATGAAGAGTGCCCATCTGTGGAGAATCTTCATAAACTCCAGGGCCTGTGGAAGTGGTTTTAAATTCCTTTAACAAATGCCATCTCAACTCATGCCAATTTAAAATTTTAAGTTGACTTATAACGTTTACTGATGGAAGATGAATAATGAGTTTCAGGTCTTACCGAAGGCATAGTAAGAAGAAATGGATTAGGTAGGAGAGCACTAGGTAAATCAAAAGATAATTTTTTTTTATATACCTGTCTCACACCTTAGTATATTATTAAATCTTTGGCCATTTCTTCTTTGCTAATAATCATTTTGGAATCCACTTACAAACATGTTTTAGTTGAATGTATATAATAATTTTTCCCATTGTTCTCCCTCAGGACCTGATTGATGAGTGGATAGCCAAAGAGGCCAAAAGATCCAACTCCAATAAAACCATGGATCCAAGCTGTTTAAAATGGACCCCTCCCAAGGGCACTTAAAGTGACCGGTTACTCCGAGCCAGCGAACCCCAGCAGTAGGAATCCGTACCCTAGGGATCTGTCTGTCATTTCTGTTGCTCTTGTGATTGGCAAGTACAGTATCCTTTGGGAAGGCCATCCCCCTCAGGACTGTCCTGGCTCCGACCTTTGTGTACACTGCAGACGCTGGTTCTGAGGAACTGTTGTTTCGGCCTCAGTGAGGTTGCCTGGGTGGGATCTGTATTAGACTTGAGTGCAGATCCCTCGTAGCACTGACCCAAGGTGTTCTGTTTTGGTACTGTACCTGTCCAGTCACTGGTTCTCTCCTCTGGCCCCATGAGGTTGTGTCGTGTCTTCTAAACTTTGTAATAGTGCTTCTTCTTGCCGCCCAGTCACCAGACCACCAACTACGGTTACTGCCACCAGGACATTCCCAGTTACTCCTTACCTGTGTTCTTGGAGGGGCAGGGAAGAGGTAACACTTCTGAGTGTGTGTGTGTGCTGGGAGGGGTCCCTTCCCTTTGGATTTCATCTCACTTTAAGTTTTCTCCTCCATTTTTACTGAAAGACCTGTTTTTGATCAGTATCAGGCTGACCAGAGCCAAATACTTTTTTTTTTTTTTTTTTTTTTTTTGGCGGTACGCGGGCCTCTCACTGTTGTGGCCTCTCCCGTTGCGGAGCACAGGCTCCGGACGCCCAGGCTCAGCGGCCATGGCCCACGGGCCCAGCCGCTCCGCGGCACGTGGGATCCTCCCAGACCGGGGCACGAACCTGTGTCCCCTGCATCGGCAGGCGGACTCTCAACCACTGCGCCACCCGTGAAGCCCAGAGCCAAATACTTTTGAAGACTCGCAGGGATTAGTCTTGGTTACAGCACATTATCTGAATGAGATGGAGAAAAGAATTGAGAAGTGATGATTCTGTATTTGGATTTGAGTTCACCTGTGGGCAGTAGGCAACATCTTGGTGGAAGGGAATGGAGTACTACTTTTTGCCTCACCAGAAAGTGCCCAGTAGTAAATGTTTTCTTCTCTTTACTCCCTGCCCGTCTTTACGTTTGCAGGTGCCAAAATAATTTCCAGTTCTCCCTTTCATGCTGCATGTTAACTGGTTAATTATCCTGCAGAAACCTTTTCACCAGTACCAGTCTGATATAGCATACTTCCACATAAGTTACACTGCTTTTGTCTGAACATCCTTGGAGAAGTGATTGAAAATGACTTCCGTGTCTCAGCCCATGACTCAGCAAGGCAGAATGGCCACCCCTGCCAAGGTTTGCTTCCCTTTTCAACAGTGCCTCACCCTCCCTCTAAGACTAAAGTGCTTATGCCCTTCCAAGAACTCCTCCTCCATTTCCTTTTTGGGATTTACCACCATCCCCCCATTCTCTGGTCTCCTATTTTTGGTGTTGTTTAAGTGAAGGAAGAGATGCTCCCTCTAATTTCTCTCTAGCCCATTATAACCTGCTATCTTGGGGCAGCTTTTGATGTATGACATGTCACCCTTTCCAACTTGGTCTCTACAACACCGCTGTCTTCATGTGGAACCCTCACCACAATCCCAACTCTGGTCATTTGTGCCTTTCTCTTGTCATCTTTGTACACTACTTATATTCACTGTGGGTTGGGGGGAGCTAATTTTAAGCATGTTCAGTGGCAGCTCCCTGCCAGTTTCAGTGTCACTGTTAAAATTTATCCAAAAGCAACTTCACTGGGGGTTTTCTTAAGGGGTAAAGGCCTTTTACAGAAGCTAATCCTTCCCCACATGTGGTAGAATGTGCTGTTCTATATCTACTCCTCAATAAAGCATGTTCTCTGCTCAAGTCTGTTTCACCTAGGAGCTCTCATTTGAGTACAAAATGGTGCCACTGACCTGCTGCTAACAGGTAATGCACTTGGGATTTATTTTCCTAGCAGTAAACTGACTGTTGAGGGATGTGGTTTGTGGCTGGGGAAGGTGGTTTCTTCCTCTGTGATGCAGGGTATCTATGGAGGGAGTGCTTACTCTGAGCTTGTTTAGTTGATGGGATAAACTCTCCCTGCCACACTCTGGTTCCAGATAATAGGTATGCATAGCAATAAGTAGTCTGTATTATCCATTCTTCTATTAAGTTCATTAAGTTCAAGGACAGAAAACCCAGCAGGAAGTTAGGATACCTGGGGTACAGTAGCTGTGGGAGGTGGGAAAAGGTGGGTCTCTTCTTGTCTCCAGGCTTATTTGCCAGTAGTGAGCAGTGCCACCTCTAGTTATTGTCTCTCTCAGGTTGAGATGATTTCTGAAAGTAGCTGCATTTTCCTGTAGCATTTACCTAGAGCAGGAAAAGGGTGGCCGGGCACTTCGCTATATGGTGGAGAGGAGGAGGGTGGAAATTGTATTTGCTGGGGTGGTTTTGCCCACTGTGGCCAGCATGGTGAGGACTTCTCCTGGCAGACAAACTAGGGGTCCTCCTTGGTAAGGTTAGAGTTCAGTGTGTCACTTGACTGGGGGTGGGAGATGGGATGGAGAGAAGCTCAAGCTTATAAAAAGACCCTTCTTACACATCTTAGAAAGATGTGCGCCAGATCTCCCTGTTCTAGGTATTCACAACAAAGGGAAATTCTGCTCTCTCTCACATTTTGAAAAAATTTAGGTAGTTAATATGGACCATGAGAATGGATGCTGAGAGGTCAAGGCACTTGAAGTTTTGTGCACAGTGCGGTCCCAAGCCTCCACTGATTGCCACCCCCCTTTTCCTCACCTAGAAATCAAAGGAAGTTTTCTCTGGTTTAAATCCTTACAGCTATGGGAACAGACAGTTCACTTCCTTGGCTACTTTGAGTCAGCCTGTGCCCGCTGACTCCTTTTTACCTGCACAAAAGAAGCTCAGCTGCTTAGGCTCCTTCATTAGAAGAGCAAAAGTCTGGAGTCATTCCTGGATCTAGCTCCTGAAACTCTCTAAGTGGAAGCACCTACTCTATTTCTGGAGGGAGGAAGAGAGCCCTAGCATGAGCTGGTTGCTTCCTATCTGCTCAGCACTGTGCTGGGTACCTTCACACTGCCTTGTTTGACCCTCACGTTAGCTCAGTGCAATGGAAATTCACACCGGTTTTGCAGAAGGAAACCTAGAGCACAGGGTGACGCAGGAAGCATCAAAGACAAATATTTTGGTCTGTCCAGCTTGAGAACCTGTATCATTTGCTTTCTTGGCTTTCTTGATTCCTTAATGATTTATCATCTCCCTTCGAGTTAGATTTCCTTGCTTCAACTGTAGACCCCCGTGCTTCTAGTGGCTTCCACTGCCAGAAGGATGACAACACTGGTGAAAACTTTAAGATGAAAGAATTGATTTTAGTTGCTCCTATAGGCAGCATTTGGAGGCCAGAGACCTAAACCAGGAAACAAAGATGTGCTTCATTCTGGCTCTGCTTCCGATTTAGGAATAAACTGTTCAACAAGCACTGTCTGTCCCTTTACGTACATGGTTTCCTTCAGTCCCTACAACGCCACCACTGTAAGGTGAGTATTGTAGCCCTTTTCCACATGAGAAAATTTGAGGCTCGGAGGTCTTGCTGCTGGGTTATAGAAATAGAATGAGAGCCTTGCTCCTCTGATTCCAAATCCCATGCTTCGGACAACGCTATTGTGAGTCATCTGATGCCTCTGTGCTCGCTTTCCCATTTCTCACAGGGGGAACAGTGAGTCATATTAAGTAACGTTTAAGAATATGGTGTGCCCTTTATAGAGAAGATGATGCTTTTGACATGTCCTCAGCTTTGGTTTGTCCCTGTAGTTCTGGGCAGGTTGCCTCGCTGGGGTTAGGAATGGCCTCTAATGGAGTTCATGTGAAGCCAGTATAGAAAAATACCACAGCTTGCTTACAGCACACATTCCTTCTGGAATATGAAACCAGTGAAAAGCAGCTTTTTGAATGTATATCAGTAACTGTAGTATAAACGTGGCTGCCTTTTCCTCCTTTGAAGAGCAATTGATACGCCAAACATTGAAGAAGTGTAGTTTGTATGAAAGGTGCCACGGGATCAAGCAGCGTGGCTCAGTGATCCTTTTACCCTTTTTGCTTTCCTTCTGACCTTTTGAGAATCTAGTCAAAGCATCAAGTCTTTTAAAAAAAATGTACATAAATGCAAATATGCACACATTTGTCTACAGTTCAGGAAATTGAGCCTTTGAAGTCCATTTCTGAACTGGGGTTAATAAGAAACCCTGGTTTGAGAAAGCTCCAGTGAAAAGGCAGGAACCCCACCTACCTGCCTTCACTCCCAGCCCATGACTAGTTCTTTGTGTAAGGTGACAGGTCCCGTTAAGTGAGGTACAGTGATGACAGGGAGAAGGCCTGGCTCACTGGCTCAACGTTAGGATCCTCACAGGTGCACATATATACACAGTGCTGCTATACAGGGTTTTGCATGTTCAGAGAATAAGGTGAAAACTCTTTTGCTAAATATATATGATGTATGCTAGGAATTCTAGAAACTACTTTTTGCTATTCGTTGATATCATAGAATTGTAGAATTGGACCTCCTCTGGGCTTGCTCCAGCACTTTCTGCTATAAATTTGTATGACTGTCTCTTCCAGACTGTCTCCTGCTGATGGGGGCAGTTTAATTGCCCACTTCCTTTGTGGTATCTTCAACAAAATGCCAATGAATGTCACTAAGAAGAAAAAAAAAAAAGGCTGCCCAGTGGTGAAAAATGCCCCTTGCTGGAATATCAGTTTGTCTCTTCCGTCTTGTGCAATACGTGTAGATGCAGGTCATGCTGCTACCATTCTGGGGTTTGGGAGTTGGTTTATTTGTGCCCAAGAGTGGAGAAAATAACCTGTGCTGTTGCACAACTTTGGCTCCATTGCTCCTCCCAGATGTTCTATGTGAGATGTAAACACCTTTATCCTTGATAAGTCATGTCCATTCCAAGAAGTCAGTCTTTCTCAACTGGGTATTTGTTTCTGGAAACCACTCACCTTATGTTTAATCAGTTCCAAAGTTTTCAGGAACCTATACCCTTATCTCACAAAAAAGGTGCGGTAGATCACCTCCAGAGATGGCCACCAACAGCTTCTCCCACCTCTGGATGTGTGTGCCGCTCCTTCCAGTAAGAGCTAATTTTCCTTTGGAGTGTGAGCTGGACTTTTTTTTGGGGGGGTGCTGGACCCTGGGAGGCCTGCAGTCAGGAGGCGGCTTGCACTGCCCCCTACTCCCACATTTCTCCCTGGACACGGGTAAGGTGTGAGAATGAGGAAGAGAGATGCCTAGTGATGAACAGTCAGTCTTGAGATGGAGACTATTTCACTACAGGTCAAACAGAAGAATCTTAACTGGTTGTGCATACACCGTCCGGCCTCTCAGGGCCTCTGCTGTCACTAAAACCTTCCCTGGCACCCAGATGAAGGGCCTGGCCTCTCCACCAATGCTTTCTTCCCCTCCTTTTAAACAGCCTAACGACCCCACCCCCAAAGAA